TATTGTCTGTATTGTGCTTGTGATATGTTGTAAAATGTTGTATGTCTGTTAATGTTTCCCTCCTTTTATCCTTAAAATAAAAAAAAATAAAAAATGGACCAAAAACTCTGAGTTTTAATTTTTTTCTCAAAAAAGTGAAGAAGTATAGAGGACTCTCAGGATTTCCTATCTGGTTGCTAAATGTACCTCAGCTTTATCATGCCTGTTGTTGGAAGGTGACTAGAACTGTCCCCTGGAGGGAGTAAAACGGTCATTCTCTGTATCTAAGTCATTCTTACATAAAAAGTTTGGGCATCACTGAGGACTTACTAGTGAAAGTACTTAATAGAAGGTATGGTGAAAAAAATGGGTATTTAAATTTTTAAAAAATTATTATAGCAAAAGACATAGTGCTATTAATCCCCCTCAAAATATTTTCCCTTTCTTCAAGAACACTTATCCCATCATTTTTGCCACTTTCTGAGGCACTTCTGAAAGTCTTTTTTCCTATGTTTAATTGTGTTATTTTGCCTGCCTCAATGTCCTGAACTGATTCAAAACTTTATTTTTCATGGTCATTTTGACTTTGGAGAAGAACCAGAAGTTGCACAGTGCCAGGTCCAGTGAATAAGGTAGATGAGGACAGTCTCAGTTACTTTTGCCATTGCTGAGACAAAATACCCAACACCCAAAGTTAAAGCTGAAAAGGTTTATTTCAGCTCATAGTTTGTAGAGGTTTCAGTCCATGGTTGGCTGGTTCGAAGTAGAGATGGATAGCAGAGGGACGTTGCCAAGGAGAAACATCTCATGGTATGGCAGACAGGAATGCAGCAAGCAGCCAAAGCAGTGAGGGAGCAGCAAGAGCAGCAGCCTGCCTTTCCTCTCTCCCTTTATATTCTGTCCAAGCTATAAGTCTATTATTGATGCCACTCATACTCAGGGTGGGGGTTCTGTTATTTATATCCTTAATCACAGCATCACACTCTTTTTTTTTATTTTAAAGATAAAAGGAGGGAAACACTAACAGACATACAACATTTTACAACATATCACAAGCACAATACAGACAATACAGAGTTACAAACAAAGTGGTAGGGAATTAACAATGGTGGTTGTATTACATACTGATATCTTCAAAGCACACTCTTTTTTTAAAAATAAATTTTATTGGTACGTTCTGTACATACATAATGATCACATTTATCAGGGAATTTGCACCTGTACATAATATATCTTAATTCTCTTTGTTTTCCCATTCCCCTCCCTTCCCTTCAATCCTTCTACTTCTCTCCATTGACAAAACTTTGTTTCTATTGTTTTCCTTCCATTTTTTTGAGATAGGGTTTTACTATGCAGTTCAGGCTGGCCTTGAACTGAGTATGTAGCCGAGGCTGGCCTCAAACTTGCAATGATCCTCCTGCTTCAGCCTCCTGAGTGCTGGGATTACAGGCATGTGTAGTCACTGCACCCGGCCCATTCTTTTTTATAAAACCCTATTCCCTTCTCTTCCTTCCCCCTCCCACTCCCTGTTCCCCTTCCCATTTGAAGATTTTCTTTCTCCTTCCCAATATTATTCTCCATTTTTGTCCTTATTTACCCTTTGGGTTTCTCACACAAGAAACAATGGGATATTTCAACATGTGTGTCCCCACTGTCACACTCTTAGTCCACATTCGCACACCCTAACCTAACCACCTTTGAAACTCCCTACCTATGATTGTATGAAGCTTTTGGGGGACATCTATATACAAGTCATAACAAGGACATACCACAGTGTTTTCACAAACCTGCCTTTCCATTGGATGGCATGTAGCAGTATCATTCACTGTATTTTTGATCATACCTCATGAAAGACTTCCAGAAGTACTTCAGAAAGAAGTACTTCAGAAGTACTTCAGAAAGTACCAAGAATAATGGTATAAATGTGTTTGAATTAATGGGGAGTATTTTGACATGGATTAATGGCAGTGCATCTTTTACTGTTACTAATCTTTAAAAATGTAAACCTTCAATCATATCTTGTTCAATCATATCTTGTATTCCTTGAAGTTTTCTTTAAACTAAAAGTAAATTATAACTGTCTTTTGTTAGAAAGATCACGAGCATTTAAATAGAAAAACTGTAGGTAGCTTTTAGTCTAAAATACTAAGTATGTGATAACTGAGGAGTTTCTTTTTTTTTTTTTTTAATTTGTAGATTCAAAATGTTCTTCATGAGTTTTTTCAAAGGCCAGATTTTGAACTTAGTAAGTATACCTACTGGTTTTTTGTTTCTTTTCTTTCTTTTTTGGGGGGTGGGGAAGTGTGGTGGTGGAGGCACTGAATTCAGATGAAAAGTCAATGTTGAAAAATGTTGTTGAAAGTTCTTACAGGTGAAATTAATCTCTTTTACTTTTTCCAGAAAAACAACTAGAAAAGCTGAGAAGAATCATTCTCCATCCCTGTAGGCTAGGGCTCCATTTTATTATAAATATTCTCTAATACCCCTTTATTATCATATGACAGTGATGGTAAACCTTGTAGAGCTTTCAATGATAATATATTTGGCATGTGTGCCATAGATTCACCACTACAGTCTTATAACATTCTTAGAAAATATTATTTACATAATTTTAAAAGAAAGATATAATAACTTACATAAAGGAGAAATATAAAGAAAAGCATTAAAAGTCACATGTACTAATTTTAATATGTATCTGTTTTGTTACAACTTTGCTAGAAGAATAAGGCAGTAGTCAGATAGTTCTACCTTTTATTATGAACATTTAGATATAATAAGAGTAAAATTATATGCAATTAATCCTCTTTGTATTTGACATTTTGAAATAAGGGCAAAATGAATGGATTTATGTGTGTGTGTGTGTGTGTGTGTATAATTCCCATCATTACGTGTGTATTTAATCCCGTGTGTATCTGTCATATTAGAATTCAGATACAATTTATGTTACCTTCTATAACACATTCTAAAATTATGAGCAACCCTTGGTCAAGTTTCAGAATTAATTTAACATTTAATCTTTCCTCCAATTTTCACAGTAGTTACATTTTTGGAAAAGTCAATAGTAAAATTAAGGGTGAGAGTGTAGCTCAGTGACAGAGTACCTGTTTAGCATGCACAAGGCCCTTGGTTCAATCCCTAACACCAAAAGTGAAAAAAAAAAAAAAAAAGCAACAGCAAAACTGTACTCTTTAATACATAGAATACAGTTCAGTTCCAAATTCAAAAAATTATTATAAATAGATTTTTCACCTACTTGAATGTCTGACAAGAGAGGAAAATTATACAAAAATTGTGGTAGTTCTCCCCATCACTGTAATACCAAAAATTCTTCCACATAGTTCCACAATGCACGCTGGGGGCAGAGGTTAACAGTACCACCCCTATGGAGAACAGTAGATTTTGGTACATTTATTTTCAGAAAGAGATTAAAAAAAAACACAAAAATCTTATTTGTCACATAAAGAACGTGAATTAAGGACCTGGTATTTATAGAATTTATGTTCGACTGATTTTTGAGTTAATTTTTCTATCATGTGATATAATGGTTAACAATAGGTAGTGAGAATGTTTGAAGTCTGTTCTCCCCTTTTTTGTGTACTGATGATTGAACCTAGGACCTTGCACAAGCTAGGCAAGCCCTCTATCAGGGAACTTTATCCCCAGTTCTGTTCTCACTTTTCAGAATAAAAATATATCTCATCTTCCTGGTCACTGATCCCAAACCTGATTTAGACCTTTCTGACAATCTTTTTTCCTTCTCCCTGTTCTCAGCCTATCCCCAAATTGTGATTCTCTAGTCAGTTCAACCTCTGCTCCTGTTTCAGAAATTCTTTAAAATAACTGCACTTATTCATTTTATTTTGGGTGGAGGTACAGGAGTGAGTTAAGATCCCCTATGGGGATCCTGATGGAAAAAAAAAATTAGAGAAAATTGGGATAGTAAAAAAGAAAAGCAAGTTGTAGATCAATTTTTATATGTACATAGAGAAAAATAAAACATATGGAAATACACACAAAGGTTGCCAGAGAATGATAAACTGTTGACAGTGGTTACTTCTGGGGTATGGAGGAATGAAGGGACTGATGGGGGGAGTAGAGCAAAAGGAGGATATTCATGTTTTGCTGCTGGTATTTTTGTGTTATTTGAGTCTTTTGCTAAGAGAATATCTTCATATATTGTTAGTTAATTTAAGAAACATTAAGAACCAAAGACATCTTTTGATTCGGGATCTGCTAGCATAAAACAAAACAGATGTTTTTGTAGTCTTTATACTAGTGTGCATATTTTTTCTGCTTTATCCAAAACTAGTTTAAAAAATTATAGCTGGGAATGTGAATGTATCTCAGTGCTGTAGTGCTCACCTAGCATGCACAAGGTCCTGAGGTCTATCCCAGAACTGCACAATTTAAAATTAAAATTAAAAATTTAGGTTCATACTTTTTAGCATTTAAGTTGCTTGATTAAATAAAAGCCAGGAAAAAGAAAAATTTTGTAGTAATGGAAATGTTCTCCAAGTATATATTTACTTTATTATAACTATAGAAGAACATTAGTTAAAAATAATTTTATGTTTTTCTTTTGAGTACTGTAGTATAAATATAAAATATGAATGTATTAAAACAACCTAACTAGCAAATAATTTCTATTCCAAAATTAGAACCAGAGTTCAAACAAGTGGATATTATTGACTCAATGGAACCAAGATTGAGCAAAGCAGAATTCACAGAAGTAAGAAATTAATATTATCTAATATTAGTATCTAATATCTAGAAATAATCAAATTATTTCTCCAGTTTCAAACTGTCTTTTGGTGGATGTCACACATACGTTAACTTATAATTAAGTGAAAGTATAAAATTTATTTTATCAATTCTAAGATACACACTTTAAATTTTGTAAGCCCTCTGAAATTTGGCTTCATCTAACAATCAAAGGCATTTTACAATTTCTTTTAATCAGTGGCACTCATGGTATGAAAATGAAAAACTTCCACTGACATCCTCTGGTAAGATAAAGAAAAATCAACATTTTATGCTCAACAAAAGCTGGTTGTATAAATAATAATGAGACCTAAAACTTCCAAATCATTTCCTTTGGATTAAGCACTGTCCTAAGCTATCTGTGTATATTTTGGGTAATCCTCTCACTAGTGCTCATGCTCTACTAGTTTGTTAATCCTCTACTTTTATAAATAAAACCACTGAGGTTCAGAAAAAACAATAACATACACATGGTCTCACCATCTGTGGAACTGGGAAATTAGTATTTGGGCAACTTGGTTTCAAATTCTACATGGTGTGATACCTGAGAAAGTAGGATTCTATTGTAATAGAATAAATGAAAGAAGCAATTTAATGATACTAGAATTCTGAGTTGGAATAACAGTGCATTTTCTTATTTTTTCATGGTTCCTCTATTTCTTCTTGTTTTCTTTAGTGAGTCCTTAGAGTCAAGATAACTTTCTCTTTCTCTTCTCATATGCGCTCTGTTCCACTGAAGGAAAACACTATACACTGTATACAGTTTCAAACTTCTATATGATGGATTTCCAAAATGGTTTTTGAAATAATTTTTGTACATAGCAGAATTTTACAAATTCTATCTCAGTTACATTTTCATTGTGTTTCCTTAGATTCTGTTTTTGTCTATATGACACCCATCAGTCACAGAACCAAACTAATGGGCAATATTGTTTATATCTCCCCTGTTCTGCAGAAGCCATGAAATGAACCATCTCTGTACTAATTCTTACACATCAGGTCAATAATTCTCTTCCCATAAATGAATTCAGGGCCAGTTACCAGACAATCAGGTATAGCTGCTGTACCCTGAAGTCTGCCCAAATTATTCAAATTAGGCAGAACTAAATCATTTACCTTGCTTTGTCTTGCATTTTCTGTGGAAATGCCAATAAGAACTCTGCTTTAGATTTTCCCTTTGCTTTTTTTCTGCTTCTGCCTCATGACTAAAACCTGATGCCTTCTCTTTGGCACTATATGAAATGACATAAAGAAATAAAAATCTTCCAATGGAATTAGTGTCTCCATGTCATTATTCAGTCACCTCCTTAAGATAAAATCCCTCAAAATCCCCTTAAAATAAAATACAAGTAAGATAAGCTACTCAAAGAAAACATGCAGAGGAACAAACTGTTACATAAAAGCAGACCAAACATGGGAAGAAATGGCACTAAGAAAGTTTAAGAGGCAATTTATTACACCATTCGGCCTCCCCAGGATCTCTCCCAGTGAGTCAGTGCCCCACCTGGAGGAGTTTTGGGACTTTTATAGGGAAAGCAAGCAGGGAGGTACAAAGGCAGATTTGGTCCCTACATCTTTGTTTTTAATTTGTTTTCCTTTTGCCATGAGAAGTCCATGTTCTTTGTACAAGATTCTGTGGACATGAACAGTGGCAAAAGCATACCTTGAGTCAGTGTAGATATTTACCTTTTTCTCTGTTGCCTAGTTGAGAGCTTGTATTAAGGCTCACAGTTTGAGCAGAACAGTTTTAAGGAAGAGGTTCAGCTAGAAGCACCTCTTCCATGGTGATGACTGCATAGCTGGTCTGGCATTTTCCAGCCTTGACAACTTCCATCCATGAACATGGTGTACTCAGCATCAGACAAGGGCTCCATCTGTAGATCAGCTGGCTAGTGAAAAATTAATTGGTTAAGGTGAGACAGTCATGGTTATGAGGGCCAAGCTCAGAGGGCAGGAAAGGAGCTGGATTTAGAGGTGTAGTCAGTTGAAAAGTAAGTCGGGGATTTTCACAGAGTAGTCCTTGATACTGAGTGACACAGCTGTTTGAGATGTTCCTGACTGCTGAGTAGCTCTAGAATGGCATGTGGCACTTGGACTATTAGATTTTGTCCCAAAGTTAATTTGTCAGCCTCTTTGAGCAGGAACACCATCACTGCCAGTGCCCTCAGGCAGGGAGGCCAAGCCTTTGGCCACCAAGTCCATATTCTGTGAGAAATAGGCAATGGGTCTTTTCCCAGGGGCCGATATTCTGTGTTAGAACCCCTGATGCTACATGCCTCCATTCATCAACAAATAAGTTAAAGGGTCTAGTTACATCAGGAATGCCTAGCACTGGGGTGGCTGACAGCACTCGTTTCATGGTCTAGGAGGATTCAGCTTGTCCTATAGTCCAGTTTAATAGTTCTCTTGACATAGGGTACTGTTTAGAAGCAACAGGGATTGCAGTGGGACAGAGGTCAATCACCAAGGGACTACAATTAACTACAAGCCCTGGAGGTGAGTTCTGTGCCCATACTTTTGGCAACAAGTCTCTCAAAACTTTAGGGTCATGATTGTCAGGCATTTCAGGCTGATGTAGGTGCCATTCTTCTTCTTAGGGTACAGTCAGCATCAATATCAAGTTTGGAGCAGTGAACCAAAGCATGTGGGAAGCTGGCTGGTTTGGAGCAAAAAAAAAGGTTGCTCCCAACTTGGAGAGGAGGTTGCATCCTAAGGGAGTAATAGGGCACTCAGGCATATATAAGAATTTATGGTTGATAGTGTCCATCAATCTTGCGGGACCTGCTCTGACAGAATTTCTTTTTAGAAGGAGTTCCTGGGGTGCCAACAACTTGGATTCACTGGGAGGTCAACGGAATGACAGGCTGAGTTACAAGTGAATGTTCAGCCCCACTGTTCACCATGAAAGTCATAGGTTTTCCCCCTGATTCTGGAAATCACCATGGGCTCCAAGGGCCCCAGCCTAATGGAACCCAGTCTGTCCTATTAGTTGTCATCGAAGATAGGAAGAAGAGACTCAGGCTAGGTTAGCTCCAGACAGTCAGGTTTCTTTTCATCCTGCAGACAGAGGGGGCATTTATCCTTCCAGTGTCCAAATTGTCTGCAGTGAGCACATTGGTCAGCCACCAGAGCATAAGTTCTGCCGACAGTTTTAGGTTGTGAGGCTTGTGAGCACCCCCCCCCCGCCCCCGCCCCACTGCCTTGTATTGATTGCCTTGGTAGGATTGGCCTTGGTGAGGTATTTTAGGAACAGGTTTTTCTAACATTGAAGCCAGGAGACCAACTTTTTGCTGACTTCTGCAATGTGTCTCACATCATTGTTTTTTTCTTTTCTTTGCTCTATCTCAGTTCGCAAAAACCTTTTGAGCAACCTGAAGTAATTGGGTGGTTTTTATGCCAGCAAAGCCATCCACCTTTTGGATTTGTTTTTCTAATGTCAGAGGCTGACTGTGAAATGAAAACAGCATTGATTATCTGTTGATTTGGAGGCACCACTGGGTTAAAAGTTGTGTAGACCCAGTAGACTTCACAGAGTCTCTTGTAAAATTTGGCTGGACTTTCATTGGGTTCTTGAATAACTTCTGTAATCCTAGACATGTTCTTTGGCTTTTTACCTCCTTAAGCCCATGAGGAGAGCTGTGTGGTACTGATTTAAGGCCTCATAGCCTTCTGTGGTATTGAAGTCCCAGTTTGGACATGCTTGGGGCAGAACTGTGTTCACCCAAACATTAGGGTCAACCACAGTGGAGGGGACTTTGGATTTCCGCCAGGCATGTGTCCCGTCTAGAATATGGTGATATTCTTCAGTATTAAACAAGGTTAAAAGGAGCTGCTGACAGTCATCCCATGTTGGCAGGTGGGTCTAGAAGATGGATGTAAGGAGGTCAGTCATTGCTTGGGGCTTCCCTGAGTAGGATGGGTTGTGATGTTTCCAGTGTAGGTCAGTGGAACTACATGGCTGATAATACATCAAGGGCAGCTGGTTGAGTGTGCCTCCCTGAGTGCTGGGGTATACATGAAGCAGCAGCTGGAGATGAACTGGAGGTTCTAGCTGAGTGGCAGAACAGAGGTGATGGCTGATGGGGAAGTCAGTGTTTCTGTCCATGTTGATAGCTCCTGATAAAGAATCAGCCTGGGTTTCAGGAGGTGCTGCACTAGTTGTAAGCATTGGAGCTATGGAGTCTAGGATAGCAACTGGATGTTCCACGGAGGCCAGAGGTGGTGTAGCTTAGGTGATAGATGGGAAAGGTGGTAGATGCAGGCCTCCAAACAGTGGGAGATCTGGCTGTGATGGCTCAGCCCTGATGATGCCAGTGGCACCAGTGGCACTGGTTATGGTGGTGGTGCTGGCTGCGATGGCAGAAGCACTATGGAATCTGGAAGGGTGAGGCCCCCTGGTGTCTCTTGGATCAGCTGTAGGGGCACTAAGGCCAGCTAGGTGGCTTGGGGCCTGTGAATGTAAGATGGTGGCAGATCAGACTCAGGGTTTTCAGATAGGACCAGATAAAGCTTCTCCAGTTTAGGGCAGGCCTGACATGGCTTTGAGAGGTCTCAGGGATTTGTTTTGATGACCAGGATGGTCCTTTCATCATGTAGAGCACAGGCACAGAGCCAAGGCAGCAGGCTTTGACACAGGGTAAGCCAAGAATCGATATACAGGAACTGGTCAGGGTGGCTAGTGTTGAGGTCTGTTACAGCATTCCAGACTTTCCCAATGGTCTCGATGTTGAGACTTCCCTGGGGCAGGCCTGAGCATGACTGATAGACTGACTGGGGTGCCCCAGGGATCTCATTTTACCCTCTCTTGATTCTAATGAGGACCATTAGCAATGAGCAGAGGCCTGTAGTCTAGTCCTCTAAGGGGACTCCAAGAAGGTCTGGAGGGCATGCCTTCCTGTCAAGGAGCCTGGAGAGGACCCTGCTTCAGCTGCCAGGCCTCAGCCAATGTTGACCTAACTGGTCAGCATG